GAAGACAGGGTTCTCTTCTCAAAGCACTTAAGCTGAGGCTGTTTAAGTCAATTGCTGTAGGAAAATACGACTGAATTCTCTATGCAAGAAAGTATCACAATTGGATTATTTTTTTTTTCAGGAAAAACTTTGAGAAAATCAAGTATTGTATTACTATCTTAGAATAACATATTGTAAAATTAGCATTCTATTAATTGCCTATTATTCTTTAGTTATAAATATTTTCAATTTAAGTGTTCTTCCAACACATCACCTTATTTTAGCACCAAGTAACACCCAATTCTGCTTCTACTTTTAAATATAAAAAGGCCCTCAGATTAAGATATACCAATTTTGGTTTTGAAAATCTTATTTGTATATATAGTTAACTTTTATTTCCAAGTTTCTGTACTGAAAAGCATTTCATTGCCAGAGGACATTCAGTTAATAATTAAAAGTTTATTTGCTCATGATCAATTAAAGAGAGGATGTAATATATAATCTGGCTATTCTTCTGGAGCTTAAACATTCACAAATTTTCAAACCCTAGTATACTAATTGCTATACCTTGACTCAATTTTATTTTAAGGAAATGGAAAACTTTAAGGGTAAAATTCAAACATCCACATTTTAGCTTATACTAAGTAAAAACCTTTGTATTATTGTGCATTCTCATAAAATGCTCCTCAAGTAACTATGGTAAAGGTAAAACCTAGAGAAGTCCGAAGGTTATGGACTGCATGAAATCCCAAACAAAAAAATTCAAATCACACCCTGAGTGTCCTCCTCCTCTCTTTTGGAATGTCTGTAGTTAGCCCCACATCACAGGTCTGGGCAGAAGCATGCTGATGTTGGCACTGCCTAAACCAAACAAACAAGATGTTTAACAGTCAAATAAAATGTCCTGCAGCCTCCCTAATGAATTTGTCAAGGACCATCAGATTTCTCTCCCCCTCTTTTGCCTCATTAACTCAAGTATGATGAGACGGATTATAACAAGAGAATACAGATCAATCGGTCTGAAGACTTGAAGTGGCTTTTAGCCTCTAGAGTTTCTTTCTCTCCCTTGGTCTCCTTTAATAGAATACGGTATCTCCTGCAGAAGGGGCTGCCACTTCGTTTTAATACGCCATCAAGGAGCTGCTGATGGACTTCTATACTAACATACATAAAAGCAGAGGTGACAGGGGCTCTTCAATTACAGCCTCCTCGGATACCGTTTCCCCCTTCAATTATTCAGCCAGAGGAAGAGCGGATCCGCAAACACACAGCTGAAGCAGCTCTTAGGGCAGAGGCGGCCGGGAGGGAGCCGGGCTGGGGGAGGGGGAGGCGACTGGCAAGAGCGGGCATTATTTGCTCCAAGTGTTTAAGTTTATTGCTCGAATGATGTTTCTAATTAGTACCCCGGCAATAAATTAAAGTCGCCTTTGTTTAACTGATTTATTATTTACTACAGCATCTACCTTAGACAGGGTAAATTGGTAATGAATTGTTTTTAAATCAAAACATTTGTAACGTTTTATCATCCCTCGGCCTCCGTACGTAAGAGTGGAGAACCCCAGGGGCGAGGGTGCCACGAACCCTGGAGGCGCTCGCCGGGCCGGGGAAGCGGAGGAGTGGGCGTCGGGGAGCGCGGCGCGAGGGCCGCGTGGCCCGGGCCGCCCGCCGGGGGCGGAGGGCGCTGGGCGCTGGGCGCCTGCCCACGGGCCTGGGGTGGCGGCGCCGTCCCCCGGGACCTCCTGCGAGCGCTCCCAGGCGCGTCGCGGGCCGCGGGCCGGCCGGGTGCACGCGCAAGGCCTGCCCCGCTCGAGGAAGCGGCGGGCACCGGGAGGGCCCGGGGCGGGGGGTGGGGGGGGCGCACCCTCTGCCCCCGACGCGAGTCTCCGCCCAGGAACTGCCCCCGGGAGAAGCCGCAACCGACCCTCTCCGGCCGGCCGCAGCGCTCGCCGGCAAGGAGCCCCTCCCGCCCGGGAAGGTTTCCCAGAGCGCCAGCCTGACCTCGCGGCGCGAGCCGGGCTACCCACGGGCTCTGGCTTCCCACTCGTGCGAAGCCCGGGCCGCCGCGGCCGCCCTTCCGGGATGCAGGCTGCGGCCCGGGAGGGCTGGAGCCTGCGGCCGCCCCAGCTCCCCGCCACTAAAGGAGAAGTCGACTAACGCTCTGCGCCGAGCTTGGGGGTGTGCTTACTTCCGACCGTGCTCCCCACTCGTGGCCACTGAAGACACAGTCTACACAAAATCCGACTTGGATCTTAAAAAGTCAACCCGTTCTTTAGAAAGGGCGTGACATGGTATCTGTGTCCGCTCCAGACATCTAAGAAGGAACCAAGAGGTCCAAGTGTCCGACATCAAGTAGGTGGAGAGAAATAAACTTCCCTTATGCAACTGAATCCAGGTTGACCCGGTCCAGCTTTTAAGAAGGCACCGCAAGTCCTCCCATGGGGTTCTGCAAAAGCCGCAGGCACACCGGGTTTTGCAAAAGGAAGTCTTTGCCCAGATGGCTTCATTGATTTTTATTTCTTATGTCATTATCAGAGAATACAATGCCCAAAATCTATCTAAAAATAATTCCATCTACTTGATTTGTCTTAAAAAGACTCAGTATCCAGACACCTGAGATTCAGACATAAACCCTCAATACTAAGCAAATCAGAAACACTGGTACAGCTTCTTTCATCCAAAAGTAGGGAAAGGCTACAAGGGGTACAGCTTGAAAGTATAACACATATACTAAAAGCACATGCATGAGTTTCACTGAAATGCCAAGGGAGGAGTGAAGCCATCTGTGTAATCAATAACAGGATAGTTATAGATTTTTGCAGCAGTGAAGTCTTTTAAAAGCAACAGTCAATTATGAAAATAAAATCATTTTACAAGTGAAACTCTGTACTGCCTCAGAGTGTATTCAAAATTAGATTTACAACATTTAACATTTTAAGAAAACTTGGGTTCACTTTTACTTCTCTTCATTTTTGTTGTTTGAAACAATTTTAGTGGCTTATGTTAAAAGTATGTCCAGAAATATTCTACCATATATAGAGTAGCATTCTTTCTCAGAACTTAGACCTATTTTCTCTCTAATAGCTAGTCTTCTTAATAAAGAAATAGCATAAAATATAGCTGAATCTTAATTATGAATTATCAAACAAGGTGCTTGCACTATTTTTACCCTGCCCCAGTTTTTCAACAGCATATGGAAATTACTGAAAAGAGATTTATATTCATAAACCTTCACCCCATATCCACTCCACCACACAGCCCAACTGGTGCACACATACTGCTCTGGCTTTTGGCAACAATGGGAAAGAAGGGGAAGACAAGGGAAGAAGACTTTGCCAAAGGAGAAAATCTAGAAAAAATGTAGGTTCTTTCCCAGATTCCCCTTCTTCCTTCTATTTACTTTCAAGCAAAAATAGTTTTGTCAGAGTTTGCACCTTCTGCACAATATTGGTAGGGGGAAAAAAAGTGAACCTTTCTCAACCACTGCTACTCTCTCGCACGTTAATTCCAGCCATCTCCAGGAAGTCCCTTCTATATAGACTCTCTTTTTCTTCCTTGCATCTGATAAGAGGAGAGGATAAAGAAGAAGGGGGCTGTATAATATGTGTGAGCATTTGACTTCTACTATCTCCTCCTATTTTCTTACTTCTCTCTTACCCCCTTTCTTTATCAAGTGCAGCGGTGGCTGCTACTGTCTGCCAAGCATGCCTGTCTTCTCTCTGGGATTGGCTAAAGCACTGACAGCTCGGAAAGCGATTGTAGGAACTGAAGCTCCACCCCCCTCATGATGGCCCTGGACCATTCATAAACTAAATAACTCCAGGAAACAGCAAGGCAGAGAGAGAGAGAGAGAGAGAGAGAGAGAGAGAGAGAGAGAGAGAGAGAGAAGAAGAAGAAGAAGAAGAAGAAGAAGAAGAAGAAGAAGAAGGAGGAGGAGGAGGAGGAGGAGGAGGAGGAGAGGAGGGGGGAGGAGGAGGAGAGAGAGGGAGAGAGAGAAAAGGAGGGAGGAGAGAGAAAAAGAGGGAGGGAGAGGGAAAAGGAGAGAGACGTCGGAGGGGAGGAGGGAGAGACGACTCAGAAAGTGGAATCTGCACAAGCAACCTAAAGGGGGAGGAGAAGAAAAACCCTTGAATCCTTATAACTAAACCCCAGATGCAACGCAAGCAACGACTTCGTCACACTAGAATAGATTCTGTGAGGGCCAAAATTATAAATTACGAAGCAGAAATGAATATCAAACAACTTCCAGCGGTTTGCACCTAGAGAAAGACAAGAAGCAACCACTGCAAACAAACAAACCCAGTCCAAACAACGCCTCCAGTAGGAAAAGAGGAAAACCGCTACAACACGACCCCCCGAGAAGAGAGCAGACCGTCAAGCTGGGAGCGCGGGGCGTCTGCAAACCTCCAAGTGTGCCGCGGACAGAGCTGCACGTCGCTGCTCTCAGGACCTTAATTGCGGCCTTCACCTTCCATTTGGGGGAGGGTGAGGAGAAAGGCACTCACCTAGGCTGAGTGAAGAAGTCGTACCAGCGTGGGAGAGAAGTTTAAGAATGAAACACTGAATGTTTCGCTTTTATTTTTAAATTTACTTTGGCACTTAAAAGACCTCATTTCCAGATTTCTGGGCAATCTCGGCTGTAGACATCTAAGCCTAACCTCTTGGTAACCTGAATTTTTCTCTCGGCCCCTCTCCTTCCCCCCTCCCCTTCATCTCTCTCACAGCACATCTTTATTTTACATATCAAGCAAAAAGGTCCCAGCAGGTACTTTTCTTCTTCAAAGATTGCCATTCCCCCTTATTTCGGGAAAAGAAAAAAGGTTTCTAAAGAGGGGAAAGAAAAAGCAAGGCGGCTGTCGCATCAGCCCAGCCGGTCAGTCCAGGTGGAAAACAAGAGTGAAAGTGGGGCTCCGGGGAAGCGCGACGCCTCTTTCGCCAGCCGCAGGGCCACCACCACTGCGTGAGCCTTGGATCCCTCAACGTACTGCGAGACGCCGGTGTACAGCCCGGACCTGTGCCCCAACATGATCGCCGCTCAGGCCAAGCTGGTTTACCAGCTCAATAAATACTACACCGAGCGCTGCCAAGCACGCAAGGCGGCCATCGCCAAGACCATCCGAGAGGTCTGTAAGGTGGTCTCGGACGTGCTCAAGGAAGTGGAGGTACAGGAGCCTCGCTTCATCAGCTCCCTGAGCGAGATCGATGCCCGCTACGAGGGGCTGGAGGTCATCTCGCCCACAGAATTCGAGGTGGTGCTCTACCTAAACCAGATGGGCGTCTTCAACTTCGTGGACGACGGCTCCCTGCCCGGCTGCGCAGTGCTCAAACTGAGTGATGGGCGGAAGCGGAGCATGTCTCTCTGGGTCGAGTTCATCACAGCGTCCGGCTACCTCTCGGCGCGTAAGATCCGCTCACGTTTCCAGACCCTGGTGGCTCAGGCGGTGGACAAGTGCAGCTACCGGGATGTGGTCAAGATGATCGCAGACACCAGCGAGGTCAAGTTGCGCATCAGGGAGCGCTATGTGGTGCAAATCACTCCCGCGTTCAAGTGCACCGGTATCTGGCCTCGCAGCGCGGCACAGTGGCCTATGCCCCACATCCCCTGGCCTGGCCCCAATCGGGTGGCGGAGGTCAAGGCCGAAGGGTTCAACTTGCTGTCGAAGGAGTGCTACTCCCTGACCGGCAAGCAGAGCTCTGCGGAGAGCGATGCCTGGGTGCTACAGTTCGGGGAGGCTGAGAACCGCCTGCTGATGGGCGGCTGCCGAAACAAGTGTCTCTCGGTGCTGAAGACGCTGCGGGACCGCCACCTGGAGCTGCCAGGCCAGCCGCTCAATAACTACCACATGAAGACGCTGCTGCTGTACGAGTGCGAGAAACACCCGCGGGAGACGGACTGGGACGAGGCGTGCCTAGGCGATCGGCTCAACGGCATCCTGCTGCAGCTCATCTCCTGCCTGCAGTGCCGCCGCTGCCCCCACTACTTTCTGCCCAACCTCGACCTTTTCCAGGGCAAGCCCCATTCGGCCCTGGAGAGCGCTGCCAAGCAGACCTGGAGGTTGGCCAGGGAAATTCTCACCAATCCCAAAAGCCTGGACAAACTATAGGGTGCTGGGGACTGCTTGAAAAGCGACACAGACCGGAATGCTCTCTAACACACAACACACACAACTCAGCGACAAACAGCAGAAACTCCGGACACAAACTTTTATGTAAGCCACCTGAAAGAAACAGGAAGCAGGCACAAGACCTTCGTTAATTAACAAGCAAACAAAAAGAGAGCAGACCAACCAACCAAAATAAATCACATTCTTGCACAAAAGTGATCGTTTTTCTTCCAAACAATGTGAATTTAAAAGGTCACACAAAAGAAGCAATCGGGCTTTGCCACCACAAAATGAAACCCAAGGTACATTTTCAAATCAATGTATAGTAGTTTCTCCTCTTTTCCTTCGCTCCCTTTCTCCTTTCTCCTCTCTCATCTTCTTTCTTTCCCTCTCCCTCTCCCTCTCATTTCATTTTGTTTTGGGTTGCCTGAATGTTGTCACCAAGTGAGAAAAAGTATTTAATTATATGTAAAATTTCTCTTTTAAAAAAAGTTTTGCTGATGTTAAATGTGTCTCAGTGCCAATGTCAGATTGTGCCCCTCCCTTTCTTGCACCTCTACCCTCACCCTAAGCAGTCTTGTTGAAAACAGTAATAAAAATATTACTTTACATTGTAATTGACTGTGGATTGTTCTTAAATGAAGGCAGGGGAGATCACAATTTATAATTTACAATGTAAAGATGTGAACTTCAGGAACTAAATGCAAAGCTTTCACTGGAACTCTAATTTGCAAAATTTACAAATACAGTCCTTTTTTTTATTTTTTTGCCAATTTAAGCATACAAGTCCCCCCCCCATATTTGGAAAAGAGAAAGTATTAATTTTACTCGACTATAATATTTTATTTGTTCTGTAAATTTTGAAGTTTAAAGTAATATCTTTGTTCACACTTGAAAAAAAGATTTTGATCTTTATGTTTAAGATAGAAAAAAATTATTTCACTTAAAAGTTAAGAGATTTGCTTTCTTATGCCGTAATTTTAAAAAAGCCACTCCGAGTCTGAAAAATAAAGGCAATCTTCATGGATCTTTTCTGAATAGTTAAAATGATTGGTTGATACTTTTCTTTCAATTATTTGTCCTCTTCGAGATTAAATAATGAAAACTTATCAATTAAATCAACCATACCAAAAAGGGAAAAAAATGGTTATAGCAACATTCCTTTTTCCCAGCAAGTGGTGATATGAACAATCCAGATTTATAAACTACTTCAATTTTTTAAGGTTTAGTTACAAATGACATAACTATGATCATTTTTTAAATCAAATTCCCAGAATTATTTCAGAAGGTGCTTATAGATAATTGAAACAAGAAAGGTTTTGATACCATTTTTATAACTAAAGAAAATTAGTTTCAAGAATTTATAAACAGCGAAAGTATATTACTCCTGCTTTTCTAAGTTAACAATCCAATGTACTTGTTTCAACACTTCAACTAATTAACAAATATTTCTTTTTAATACAAGGAAATAAATGAATAAAAATAAAATAATTAGTAAAACTGAAAGTATCCCAAAGGAACTGGTTTGGTTTGTCTTCTTCATATTGTCTTTAGTATACTCCATTAGATATGTTAATGATGAGGCACAGGTAGAGAATACATGTCAGATATTACCCTTTAATACTTAAAATTTCTTCTTTGAATTACTCAGCTTTTAATTTTTTGAAAAATCCATGAATGAGATATGTAGACAAAAATGTTCTAAAAAGGAATTTTAAAGATCTGAGGAAGAAGTTTGTGTCGGGGAGAGAGTGCATGGATAGATGATCCACAGGACAGCATAGATGGATGAGAAACAAGAAAGGTACTGAGGGATCTGATGCCTAGTTCACTTGACAAAAGAGGCTTAAGTTCTCAGATTCCTTGGTAAAAATTCCAGTAAAAATAGTTTTGTTTAAGAAATATAAACTTTGATCTTATCAGTTCTGAAATAATCTCTACTCTTTCAACCTACACTGTATCTTTTTCTGATCTCTCTTCCTGTAGATGTAAAACAAACTCACTGTAATACTAAGTGGTTCAGACAAATATACTGATTTTTTAAATAATAAAAATGAACTACTCTCTGGGGAAAATGTTCTGATTTTTAGGAACATTTTCAAAGCAAGTAGTAGGTGCTCACATTGACAAAGAAATGATTTAAGGGCATGGTGTTTAGTTTAAAAGATAAAAATGACATCTTAAAAATGACCTTTTTTTTTCTTATGCATGCAAGTATTTACAGCGTTAGACACTATCTCCCTCCAATGATCCCAGGAAGAAGTCTTTAAGTTCTGACAAGAACAACAATTCCCCAAATTCAGTATTTTTCCCCTACCTCATTTAATGCAGGTATCACCAACAAAAAAAGAAAAACACAAGTGTCCTCATTTACGAAATACCTTAAAGCTCCAATGTCTATACAAAATAAAAAATTCTTCCAGTAACTGAAAAATTTTAAGAATAATTTTAAATTAGCAAAACTTTGATTTCTGTAACATTAGGCAGGTTGCAGTGTACAAGACAAATGCTGTAATTAGGCTAAAAGATCTTTGTATTACACAAGTAGTAGGGGAAAAATAAATTTAATGATGCTGCACAGAATAAAATCAGAGAGAAATAAAGGGTATAACTTCTCTCAAAGAGAGTAAATAACTGTAAAGAGCCTTACTGCAAAGACTGGCAGAGATCCTAATTTTGAGAACAATTACATTAGGCACCTTTAAATTACATTATATTTTAGATTCTATGCCACATATGTCCAAAAGCATAATAGTATGTTCTGAATTAAATTTTAGCCTCTCAAACATACAAAGTACCATAAATTAGAGAGTTTAGGTAATTTTGGTTACCTTCATTTCCTAAAGAAATGAAAATAGAATTTCAGACATTACAGCCAGGTAACAAAGTAGGAAATTTTTCCAGCTGATGTAATTTCACAATTAAAGTTTTCTCTACAGTGAATTAGCTGAATTATTGAGATCAAAACAGTTCCAACACATCCTTCCTTTCATACAGCCTACCAAATCCTATCTTAAAAAAGGCAGCAATTCTGAAATGAAGTGCTAGAAACACAAGTAAGACAAGGGATGATTTGTTTGTAAAGTTTTAAATAAAATTGTAACATTTTCATCAATGATTGCTTTGAAATACTCCTAAATCACTAAAATTTAATAATTCACATGATTACAAAACCAAAGAATTTCCCACCAATAAACTCAAAATATGTGTGTACAAACCAGCTATCAGACTATAAAATAAATAATTCCATTTTTAAGCCATTTCTCTTCTACAGGTTGCTTATTTTGCTCCTTTTAAAAGAGACTGTTTCCTATCAGAACAAATTCTACCATTCACTTTCATGAAATAAACCTAGCTTTGGCTTTATAGCTGTGCCACAAATGTTTCTTAGTAAAATAAAGTTGCCAAGGTCTAAGAAGCAATCAGAAATACATTTTAAAGGGGAAATTACATTTTCATTTAAGAATAGGAAATTATGCAGTGCCTTGTAAAATCGACTATAGGTAATGGGAAACAGAGGTATCACACACACACAAGACATGCTTGCGTGCACAACAGAGTAGTAAGTCATGAAGACAAAGCAAGGAGAGTGATATATTGGTATTATATCCAGAAAATATAAAGGCTAAACAAAATAATTCCACCCTCAACCTCACTGAATTTTGTAGCTTAATTCACCCTGGACCCTTTGTGGCAAAATATATTTATGGACGATATTCCCTGTGGTTCTCCTCCAACCCCAGAATGAGCTAATGATAAACGCAATTAAGTGGAAATTGTTTTTGAATCTAAATGAACTTCAATAATCTAACTAGCTGGTAAGGGAATCATAAGCTAAAGAAGATCGCTGCCTTGCATATAGGCAGAAGCAATTCAGCAAGAAATTCAAACGAAGTCTGTCAGATTTTATCAGTGCCAATACTACCCAACAGCAGCCCACCATCCCATCAAAAGAAAAGAAAGCTTAAAAGGGAAACCCACTCCTCATCTTCTCACCTTGGGGTCGATTTTCTTGAAGTTAGAGTCCTCTTCATCCACCTCAAAATAGAGTTCGGAGGAGGTGACAGAAAGAGTGCCCTTTACTACAATAGAGGGGGCCACAAGCTGAGCCGGTGTGCTCAGGCTAACAGGACCTGCCAAAAGCAAAAGACAAGCCACACAAATTGGAATGACATTTTTCAAAAAAATCTAATAGATTCAAGCAGAAATTTTATTTTTAAATTATCACCTCTAGCACCAAACTGTCTGCCAGATTGTCTACACTTAGAAATTCTGTGAACCCCAAATCTTCCTCTGAAAATGCAGAGTTATTAGGATTCTCCTACTAAGAGATTTATAGTAGAAGGTTCATGGTAACAGTAAACTAGGCTGCAATTATTTTACAGGGAGTCTGCAAAGCTTTGGTCTAATCTCCTAGTAAGAAGGTGGCTCTGCCTAAATAAGTCTTTCCACATTCCATTTAGAAAACAAGCCCCAGGCTATCAAACAACATGGAACAACCACTAGAAGCAAGGAAGACTCAATAGGCTTCCAAGGCCAGAGGTTAGCTTAGTTTGGCTGAAGCATGATTACAAAAAAGATCACTAGCTTATTAGTGAAGTGAGAAACGTTACACCATATTCTCTGATAAAGATTTTGTGCCAGGTTGACACAAAACCTCTTCTATAACAACTTTACCCCATGAAAGATTGGTAAAAATACTCCTTTTCTAAGCCTGCCTTTCCACTGTTAAATATTGTTCAATGCTTCCAAATCTAATATTAGTGTAGTTCAGGGACTCTGGGAGTAAACAGCTGGAGGGTGGGTTTCCAAGTGAATGAATTTTTATTGGAATAATCAAATCTCCACAGGGCTTATCAAAGAGACAAATCAGCCTGCTACTGAAAACAATAGATTCACTACAAATAGAACAGCATAAAGTATATTAATGCTAAACCTAAAATAAAGGACTAAAAATAATAATTGCATATATATATATTATAAATAAATAAATATATATA